AAAAATCTTTATCTGATAACAATACATTAATTTCCAGCAGTTCAAAGTAAACGAAGTTATTATACTTATTAATGGCTTGAATTTAAAGTTGAAAATATTTATATTAAAAAAAATGCCAGTACAAATATGATTCTCGAAATAATATTATTTGATAAATAAATAGATAATATCAAAATATTTGCTTGATAGAATATAAATTAATATTTCAGAGATACTCAGACTTTTCTTTTTTGTAACATTCAACAACAGACAATTTCTATAAGAGAAATGTTTTTACTATCGAACATAGATTTGAAAAAATAAAGGAAATAGCTCAATTAAGAAACTAGCCGGTTGAAATAAATATTGCGTTTTTATTTAAAAAAGATAAAGTGTATAATATATGTAATAGAGTAAATTGAATAAAAATAATTTTATTTCTAATCCTCTAAAAATCATGAATTCAAAAACGAAATCAAATAAACTATTAAAATTTCTATAGTTCAATAAACTATACGACTTTTTAACTACAATACGGATCTAAATTACTACAAATTTATTATTATTATTATAATTTATAAAAGTTTGAATCAATTTTATATAGAGTCTTGGTCGTTTAATGATTCATCGTAATGATGGTCTTGTTCCATTAGTGGCTGCATCAGTTGGTATAGCTAAATATGAACAAGCATTTCGTTCCATAGTATGGCGTTTTGATCAATTACCAAAACGAGATCAAGGTGCTTACGAAACACATCTATTTGAATGTAAGATGTCCATACCATCATGTGATCCTATACCAGAAAAATATGAACCTATTGCTGATGTTGAATATTCAATGTCACAAGCATTTTTTTCACATTGTCAAGTAAATCAAATTTAATTATTATTAGTAGTAGTAGTATTAGTAATAATTTTCATTTGATTTTATTTTTTTCCATAGATTCATTCAGTTGTTGTACCAAATCCCGAAGAAACGCCAGAAAAATGGATACGTCCAAAAAGTCAATTTACCATTACAATTGATATTGAATATGCATTTAAAGAAGAAGAAAAAAAAGATTTTGCACCTATTGAAATTGATATGAAAGAACAACCAATAATACCAAGTGAAACAGAAAATAGTTCACATTCTGATGATAGTGATTGAAAACAAAAAAATGATTAAATTTCAACTTAATTTAAATTATTGTTTTTTTTATGCAAAAAGAAAACAAGTATGTTGTTGTATACCCAAATAATATTTTCCTTTTATGTGATATTTTTCATTTTCACCTGCTTATTGTATTTAAAATAATCTATATTATTTATTTATTTGTATTTTCATCAGTATTTTATGTATGGTCTGTGCTTGTTGGTTTATTATTTTTTTCTTGATGTCTAATAAATAAATAAATAAATGTTCATAATTAATTTTAGATATTTAATAAAAAAAAAATGACGATTAATGGTAGTACACGTTCATTAAGACAACATGTTCAACGTTCACTTGGTGATGATTTTATTGATCCACCTTCGATTATCTCAATAATTGGAAATGATGATGATGATGGAGCTGAAGACTTTCAACTAAAAGCTGCTCCATCAAAAGGATGAGCATGTGGAGGTGGAAGACAATCACGAATAGGACGTAAAACAAATCCAACAGTAAATCAAATTGATGATGATGATTCAATGGAAATTAGTTCGATAAGAATGACAACAGGAAACAATAATAATAATAATAGAAATATGTTGGTCAAGAATCTGAAGAAAAAGGATATTTTCATCATTTATTAGCTGGAAAAACAAATATACAAGTATTAGTTGATCAATGGATTGATTCCTATCAAGCTAATCGTGATGAAGCATTAATTGAATTAATGCAATTTTTTTTGGATAGTACTGGTTGTAAAGGAAAATTAACACAAACAATGTATTTAAAAATGGAACATGTTGATATGTTACGAGGTATCACTGAACATTTTGATGAGGTAAAATATTTTGCTGTTTTTTTTTGCATAATCAATTTACACTCATAAGTTTCCTTATGTCGATATTTGATATGATTTTGATCATTCCTAGTACTGTACAATAGATTTTGCAGAGTTTATAAACATTAAATCAAATTATTCAAGTTACTTGACAAAAAAAAATGATATGAATATATGTTAACTGTATTATGATAAAAAGTCGTACTTTCATATTAATTCAAGTCATGATTGTTTATATGTGCCCACATACTTTATTTATTTTAATTCAATACTTGATGAATTATTTATAATTGTTTGAAAAATCAAATTAATTAAAATCGACATTATTATCTAAATATTAATATTTAAACATATGTATCAATACCAGCCAGATGTCAGCGAGTGCTTTGAACTGCTGGAAATTAATGTATTGTTATCAGATAAAGATTTTT